CCCTTATTGTAAAGCAGGGCTAGTGAAATTTTTTGTGAATGGGTCATATCTATACTAATAAAAGCCTTGGGGGTGATCTGGCCAGCAGGGGAGTAGTTAGGCGTCAATCAGGCCTGCAGGGGAGCTATTAGGGGGCGATCAGGCTGGCAGGCTGAAGCAGTTAGGGGCAATCAGGCAGGCACGCAGGTGAGTGGTTAGGAGACAGCGGTCCAGGATTGTGAAAGGGATGTCCAACTGCCGGTTTAGGCCCGATCCCGGCAGTTGGACATCCTGGGATCAGGCCTAAACCAGCAGTCGACATCCCCCAAAGGGTCCAAGATTGGAGAGGGTGCAGGTTAGGCTGAGGGACACCTCCTCCCGTGCACGAATTTCGTGCACCGGGCCACTAGTTGTACATATGCAACGTTTTTTAATAAACTTAATGGTAACCACAAAAATAAAACCTAGAACTAAGACACATAACATTAAAGAAATTAAAAGAGGAAACAGAGGAGAAAAAAATCATACAACATTACCAAACTGAAATTATAGACAGAAACACAAAGGAAAAGAAACAATGGAGACACTGAGCTACCAGGAAAAAAAAAGACAAAATGGCTACAGGAAATCCTCTTATATATTAATAATCACCCTAAATTTATATGGGCTGAACTCACCATAAAAAGGCACAGAGTAGCAGATTGGATTTTAAAAACACACAAAAATTCCAACTATATGCTGCCTTCAGGAGACCCATCTCAGCTACAAAGTCTAACATAGACTCAAAGTGAAGGTTTGAAAATGATTCTCCAAGCAAATGGCATCCAGAGAGAGCAGATGTAGCCATACTTCTATCAGACAAATTAGATCTCAAGATAAAAAAGGTCACAGGAGACAAAGATGGACATTTTATATTAATGAAGGGGACAATATATCAAGAAGACATAACACTTATTAATATATATGCACTCAACCCAAGAGCACCAAAATATATAAAAGCAATTACTAACAGAACTTAAAGAAACTGACAAAAATACAATTATAGTAGGGAAGCTAAATACGCCATTGACAGCAATGAATGCATCATTCAAACATAAAATCAATAAAGAAATATCAGCCCAGCCAGCATAGCTCAGTGGTTGAGCATGGGTTTGATTCCCAGTCAGGGCACATGCCCAGGTTACAGGTTTGATCCCCTGTGAGGGGGTGCAGGAGGCAGCGGATCGATGAATCTCTCTCATCATTGAGAAGAAATAAGAGATCAAAAGATACATAGAGACAAATAAGAAAGACATTACAACATATCAAAGTCTTTGAGATGCAGCAAAAGCAGTAATAAGAGGAAAGTTTACAGGTTTACTTCAATTAACAACAAAAATCTTTTAAAAATAACCTGACATTTCACCTTAAATAACTAGAAAAAAATAAGAACAACCAAAGCTCAAAGTCAGTAGACGGAAGAAAAAAATAAAAATCAGAGCAGAATTAAAATGGAAAACAAAGCCCAGCTGGCGTGGCTCAGTGGTTGAGCATCGACCTATGAACCAGGAGGTCACGGTTCTATTCCGGTGAGGGCATATGCC